TGCCATGTAGCTGCTGAAGGATAAGGACACACCGACCAAAACCTTGCTGGTTGGCCACAGCCTTGTGATAATACATAGACTGATAGAAATAGGTTCATTTAAGATGTAAGCGTTAGCTAGGAATATGCTGAGTCATAGGCCAAATAGTATTGCAATTAATATAGGTTCTGTGTGATTGTTTGGGTTTGGGTGGCTGGGAAACAAACAAGCAGTCAATTTTGTAAATGGAGACTGCTCATTCATTTCCCGACCACCCAGACCCGAATAATCAAACAGAAACTATATTAACTACAACACTAATTGGCCTATTAGCTCAGGCTTCTTATTAACTAACTCTTGCATCTTAAATTAACCCATTTCTATTATCTGTGTATCACCATGAGGCTGTGGCTTAGCGGTAATCTTTTTTGGTTTTGTTTGGTTTTTTGAGACAGGGTTTCTCTGTCGCTTTGGGGCCTGTCCTGGAATTAGCTCTTGTAGACCAGGTTGGCCTCCAACTCACAGAGATAGATCACTTAGCGGTGATCTTCCAGCAGCTACATGGTGTCTCTTTGACTCCTTCTACTCTCTTTAGATAACTCTTCCAGCCTGGCTATATTCTGCCCTGCCATAGGCCAAAGCAGCTTTATTTATTAACCAATAAAAGTGACACATACGGAAGGACCCCCCGCCCCACGTCAATGGTTTATGAAGAAGTGTGATTTACTTCTTGCTGCCATAGAAACTTTAAAGTTCAAGACAGCTGGTCAGGGAATCCTTGCCTGTTACCATATGGCAGAGGGTGCCATGCATTAAAGGATGAACACTTGAGGGAGAAGAATCAGGTCAGAGTCGCTGTTGTCAGGAGACTAGGCCTGCGGTAACTGCCCTACTCCCTCTGTAATAGCTTTTGTCTAGTCACTTTTTATTATTTTTTATTTTATATGCATGGTTGTTTTGCCTGTGTGGATGTCTGTGCACCCTGTGTAAGCTTGGTGACCACAGAGGCCAGAAGAGGGTGTCAGCTCCCCTGGGACTGGAGTTACAGACGGCTGTGAGTCACCACAGAGGTGCTGGGAATCAAATCTGCATTCTCTGGAAAAGCAGCCAGTGCTCTTAACTCCTGAATTCTCTCTCCAGCTTCATGATTCTAATTTTGTCTTAAAAGTCCCCACTTTTTAATACTGTAGCCATCCTGGCAGGAATGGGGATATTCTACAGAGATACTTTCTTAGGTCTCTAACCAGAATGTTTGTAAACCTGCTGGAAACCATTCGACAGTGCACGTGGTATACAGAGAAATGGGCCAGGTTTTAGTGCTGGATCCCAGGCTCTACCACTTAAGAGTAAATTGTTTTACAACTGAGTAAATTGTTTAATCCCTCTGGCCTTGGTCTTTCCCTTTTGTAGCATCTAAAGGAAAATGACTTTTGGGGTTATTCTGAGGGCAAATGGAGCATTTCTAACATTTCTAGTTTTTAGATGGTATTCAAAACAAAAGAGCAATTCCTGCTATTTGGAAGAAGTGGTTAATTTTCTGTTCATGAGATTTAAAAAACACTTCAATGTGCCTAAAGATGACGAGTTTCCTGAGCATCCATTTGCTCTTTCAACAATGAAAGAGCAGTAGCCACAAGCTTAGAAGTACGCTGCCCTTATCTCCAAAGGGGAATTTCGCAGTTTCTCAGTAGCCGGTGGCACAGGAAGGGTAGTGCCAACCACCTGGTGGGAAATGTTTCAGTTACCCACTCTCATTTCCCTCGACCTCCCTATGACAGGAGTCCCTGTGTCTCTGCAGTCACCCAAATTCTCATGGGGAAATTCTAACCCCCAGTTCCTCCTGGTGTGACTTTATTTGGAAATAGGGTCCTTGCGGATGTACGATGAGATCGATGGGGTGTGCCCTGCTCCAGAATGACTGCTGTCTGGGAAAGGACACATAGAAAGAGCAGAAGGCAGAAAGACACACGGGGCTGGCTGTCTGCTTTCTCGCGGTGGGAATGACTTAGATGCACGGTGGTGAGTGAGCTGTGAGCTCTCTGAGCCACATCCGTCCAGTGCCTTGAATTTCAAATGCTGCACCAAGGCCGGCATCGTGGAGAAGCATTTCCTGGGCCAACCTTCCCGAGAACAACTTCCAGACAAGTCCCCAGGAGCAAGTTTTCTCTGCAGCAGTATCCAAATCACTGTAACAAACATGTATTGACTGATGACGTATCACACCAGGAGAGGACCCCTGACCAGAATCTCCCATTGGAGGAGACTTCTAACCAGTAAGCCCCGCTGGATGGATTGACTGTTTCCAACCAACGCTGATCACTCTCACTCATCGCATATTCTAGAGGACCCCACTGTTTTGGACCCTCAGAATCAGACTGTAGCCATCTTCACCTGGAACACCCACTGGGCCCAGCTGACGGTGGTGGAGAGAGTAAACACACAGTAATTACTATTGTGTGAGCTCTAGCACAGTGTTAGACAGAAGCCCTCTGGGAATTCTGGGTCTCTAAAGCTGTCTAGGAATTTGTTCTTACCCTGTTCAAAAGCAGCGTGATGAGCACAAGATCTTTGAGTGCCTTGTGATTTGAATTTCTCTATTTTCCCTGTCTCTGACCTTCAGACCGATATTTAAAGCTCTCTAGTGGTTTAGTCATTCCTGCCTAGATAATCTCCCATCTTAATGTCAACTGATCTGTGAACATAGTTACTGCCACAAAATACCTTCATTGCAACACCTGGATAATCCTCAATATGACGGCAGGTGTCTACCAGGACAAGAAATCTTGGGGTCATCTTAAGCATTCTTCAGTTCAGCTGTTTTTCTACTTAAAAATCACTTTAGATTTAAAGCTAGTAGTTTATAACTGGAGAAAGGCTAATTTTTTTTCTCCCTCTGTCCAAGAAACATCTGGTAACATCTGGAGACATTTGGATGCCACCTAGTTCGTAGGCACCAGAGGTGCTGCTCAAATGGGCGGACACAGTGGATATGAACCCAGTTATCTATACTCTTAGAACTGTGAACAACTTCTCACGTACAAACAGAGAAGTCTCTGCAGCCTTTTGAGCAGCCCCGAGACTTCAAGTGAGTGACTCACCAAAGCAAGAATAGAAGGGATTTATATAAGAGAACTTTCTGGATAAAGAATGATCCAGCCAAGTTGTCAGAATCGTCAGGATTGGGAAGCCCTGTCTTAAAGCACGAAGGCAATTATTATGCTATGAAATGATAGTATTCAATCTCATACGTAGAAATAAATGTGCTGTGCAAGGGTAGCTGGCAGGATTTGGAAGGCGAGTAGGAAGAGAAGAGGAAGGGTCAGTGCACTAACGAATGGGAGGTAGATTGACAGTCAAAGGTTACGAATACGGCAATGAAACTGTCATCAACTGGGGCGAGGAGGAAGAAAGGAAGGGACAATAGGAGGCAGTAGATAATGCTTAAAACCCACAGACGACACTTTAAGTATTTCATTTGAAATTATGATACTAACCCCCTGAAAGCACTAAAACTTCAAAAAAACCTTAAAAGCATTAATCAGGTCTTGGAATAAGAACAGCATGCAAAATTGAACTCCTTTGTTTAAAAGAAAACAATGGAAAAATTTATAATAAAATGTATAATTTTTAATAAAGTATAAGAATACATTTTTTAAAAGGAAGGCTTATAGGTTAAACTGGGTGACTTATAGTAACAGTACTTACAATATTGTGCACAGTATAAGAGTGATAATATTTTACTAAGCACACGGCAGTCTCTAAAAGACTTAGTCTTTCGGATACTAAATCTTAACTGCTCACATTACAGTAAAACCCATCTCTTTCTGTCACAAATACTCATGAAAAATCAACTGAGACAGCAGACAGGCTTTATTCGGCTCACAGTTTCAAAGGTTTCATTCCACGATCAGTTGGGTCTCCATGACCCCTGGGCTTGCAGCAGACAGAATGTCATGGTGGAAATACGTGGTCAAAGAAGCTGCTTAGTTTCTGGTGCTCTGATACTAAGACAGGACACACCCCCAGGGACCCGAGTTTGCCCATTAGACTCCACGTACCGAATTCTCCCCTGCTTCCCAGGAGCACCAAATATGGAAGAACAGGCCTTCCTTCCATACACAAGCCTTAGGAGACACCTAAACCACAGCCATCAGCTTTTAAAATATATCACACATATTGTCATTTGTCGTGACCCCAAGTTGTATCAAGTTATGGATGATAGTTACAAGTACAAATAAAAGAATTTTAACAATAATTATAACAATAAGTATAACAATAATTATATGATTCAAATGATTAGTTGAAAGACTCAAGGATCAATGTTTTGGTTTTCATCTTAACTTTTCAGCATGCCTACTGTGCCTCATTCTGATTCTGTCTTATTACAACTGTAAATTTAGTACTGCTTTCTTTGGTGTTTAGACCTGCACTTTGATGATGCCAAATGATAATGGCGTTTTCCCTCAGGGTTGCCTGCCAAAGGCATGCCAGAGTTGAGCTATCAAAGGATGCTATACTTCCTGATAAAATTCGACGATAGATTCAAAAGACGGACCTAAAGAAAAATATTTTGCAATCCAAAGACTAATATTTTGTAGTTTCCTCCACTATGGGAATACATCAAAGTGCATCGGATCAGGTCGAGGCCCAGTCTGGTCTAGAAAAGTGGCTTTTGCCAATAGTCTTCACCGCAGTGCTGGTGGCAGAGGTGGTAATGCTATAAACCGGATGTGTCTCCTTGTCCTTTGGGAACCACAGGGATAGATTTCCTCCCCCACCTCCATGTCCATGTGTCTCAGTCACTGTTGGGGCTGCAGGGGAACCTAGTAAAGAGTCCAGTCATCTGGACACAGCTTGTCTCTGCCTCTAACTATCAGATGCCGGGCAAGTCATTTGACCTCTCCGAGCCTCCACTTTTCTTACCCAAACAAAGCTGCGGGACTGTTGGTGAGCCTAAAGAAACTGCTCGCTGCATCAGTTTCTATGGGGGGGGGCGTTAGACAAAGGTTGACCTGGTGATATTTTAACTGACATCAGGCCTAGCACTTCTTCATGTCCCATTTGTACCTCCAAGTAATCCTAGTAATTCTACTGCCTGGGACTGCCGAAGACACCGAGGACACATGGCAAACTGACCCTGTTCTAACGGTTGTCATGGAAATGGGCTTTTTTTTTTTTTTTTTTTTTACCAGGTCTTTAAATTTCTCAGTGTGTATCAGCTCACAACACATGGAGGAAGTGGATTAGGAACTGTCTTTTTTTTTTAAATTGGCTTCTAGAGCCATGTGGTTGGACATGCCTTAAATCTTATTGTTCTGGAAGCAGAAGCAGGTGGATGACTGTAAATTCAAGACCAGCCTGGTCTACTTGACTAGTTGCGGGTCAGTCAATTTCTGTATTTATAATGCTGCTGCTACTCTGAGAACCACAACAGAAGAGAAAAGTTCTGGGCAGTGAGGCAGAGTTTCTTCTCCAGCTTTCGAGTTTACAACATGATCGTAGCCTTTCAAACCTCTAAGTGCCACTTGCCTTACCTTTTTCGACTTAGAAAATGATGCTGCAGAACCACAGAGGAAACAAGAAGGGCACAGACCCGGAGGAAAAGTCTGAGATGATCACGATGACCAATCACACGAACGTGGAATGTGCAGCAAATTCTGAGCTTTACTCTTTAAAGAGTCCAAGCTATGGAAGAACAGAAGGAAGGGAGGAAAGAAAAAGCCCGAGGGACACTTTTATATTGAAAATATTAAGGCAACATAAAAACGAATGGCAATATGTGAACCTGGATGGGAAAAAATTATATAAGGTGATCTGGGAAGAAATTTGAGTATAGACTATACAAAATTGCTGGCTTTCCAGGTATAAAACGGCTAGTGTAATTATTTAGGAAAATGTGTTTATTCTTGGGTGATAATTCGAGAAAGAACTTGGAGCTGAAGTATTGCTATGGTTTGAGTGTGTTCTCTAGATATTTATGTATTGGAACTTGATCCTTAAATCTCTATGTTGTTGGCATCTGGAGATGGGCCTTTAAATTTAACCTTAGTTGAGGTTAAATGAGGCTGCCTGGGTGTAGTCTCCCTGATGTTGCTAGTGGTTGTATAAGAAAAGGAGAGGATCCAGTTAGCATACTGGGCTGTCTTGCCACATGTCACATTAAGGTTCATTGTAAAGGTCTTCCCAGATGCTGACCAGTTAGTGTCAAGTTCTCGGGCTTTCCCACCTCAGAAACTTGAGCCAAATAAACTTGTATTCTTTAGAAGTTACCTAATCAGAAATACTTCATTAACAGGAAATGGGCTAGACAAAGGTCAGGCTTGCAACTTTACAGATGGTTTAGTGAAAAACCCCTTACATGTACATACAGTGCACACAAGCACACAGAAGAGAGAAAATAGTCACAGTGACTAATGCAGGTGGCAGGTGTGTACAGAATCCTTGTACCAATCCTTCAGCTCCTCGGTAGGACCAGAGAACTTCAATTTAAAAGTTAGAATTCTATCAATATTATCCCTTTTGTGTATAAAGATGAATTTTATGTTTTCAGTTAAGTATATCATTGGTCACCTGTGCACATTTTTGTTTGATCTTTGCTTTTGGTGCCAAGGGTTGACCCTCCAAGCTGCACAAGTGCTTTACCACTGAATTTACATCCTCACCCGCAACCATCCATTAGCAAAACAAAACACCATGGGGTGTCCGAAAGGAAGATTCAGGGGGCAACTTTATGACCAACTATGGACCAGTTCACTCGTGGCGTTATCCCCGTAGGGTCTTGTGTCTGTTCTAATCCGGAGCTTTGTGGCTCTGTGACCCGTGCTTCCTGGGGGTGTGACTCTTTCGGTCGCTCTTACGGCAGGGGTTTCCTTTGCTGGTCTTCACCTGTGAGGCTCTCATCCAGCGCCTCAATGTATGATTGTGCGGGCTGACGCAAATCCTTCTGCGTTTAACATGGAGGCTGCCAAGAAAAGGAGAAAAAAATATATCTTCATGGAAATTACAAGTACAAGCCAGGTGTGGTGGCGCATGCCTTTAACCCCAGCACTCAGGAGTCAGAGGCAGGTGGATCTCTTGAGTTTGAAGCCAGCCTGGTCTACAGAGGGAGTTCCAGGATGGCCAGAGCTACACAGAGAAACCCTGCCTCCAAAACAAACAAAACCCAAAGAATTACACCTATATAAAGAACTGGTGACTTGTAGACAGCCCCCACTTTTGGACACTGCATTCTTAGGGACGTCAAGTGGAACACCAAGAGGATGTCTGTTGTCCTCAGTGTCAGTCGAGTGTTAAACTGAGGAGGCGGGAAAGGGGAGATTGGATGAAGAGGAGGAGAAAGGAGGGGGAATGAGAGGACGAAAGGAGGAAAACATAGAAACAAACTCAGGGAAAACAATTCTCTTCCCACTTCAAACTTCATCCAACAAAACCAATCCATCCTTCCCGCCCTTGGCAGGCACATCTTTGTCTGGACCCCTCGGATGACCATCCTCTTTCTTCTCTTTATATGACTCTTTTTTTTTTTTTTTTATTGGTTTTTCGAGACAGGGTTTCTCTGTGGCTTTGGCGCCTGTCCTGGAACTAGCTCTGTAGACCAGGCTGGTCTCGACTCACAGAGATCCACCTGCCTCTGCCTCCCGAGTGCTGGGATTAAAGGCGTGCGCCCCATCGCCTGGCTTAATTTCCTATGTCTTTTGTCTGAGCACTTGTTTCACTTCTCCTACCGAAGAAACACTCTATCTTGATGGAGGAAGAGTTGAGACAATTTTGAAAAGCCCCTATTACAACAGGAATGCACTAACTCATTACAGACCTAAAGTCAAATTTGGCCAATAGAAAAATCTACTAAAATATTTTGGTGGCCAATAAAATTTAACATAATGTAGTTCTAATTACAATTCAGAATTTGTTTTGATTTTTAGGGGGTGGCCCCCACAATTTGAGGTAACTAAAGGAGTTTCTCTTTTTAAAAATGATGTGACTTTTAGTTCTCCATTAGGTGCCAGGCATATCTGGTGAAATGTGGCAAATCCTCCTGTTTCCACATGTATAATATATCTGCGTCCTGATAAACTAAAACCCTCAAGTCACGGGGAGATGAAGGGAGGGGCGGGGAACAGGTTGCTATTTCTCTCAAGAGAAACCATTATCAGATAATGCGTGGAATCAACAGAGGAGATGACCGTGGAAACGCGTGGGTGGGCTTTAGCGTAGGAAAGTCAGATTGTGGAGGAAAATCAATCCGAAAGGAGCGGACATCCTAATAGAAGACTTTATATTCTCCAACTGCCTCACATTGAGGGGGACTTAGCAATCAGTGCTGATTGTCGGCAGCCAGTTAGTCGCTTTGCTCTTGTGGGAGAAAAGTTCTAGCACGGCTGGGCTGGAAAAAGTAAAACCCTAGCTACAGCTCCTTCCTACCGGCCCAAAGGAGAGAGAAATGCTCTCCTCCAGAAGCCATAGGAGGCGGAACCGTGTAGGAGCTAAAGGAAGAGGCAACAACCACCCCATGGAAGCCTGTTTCATGGCTGGCCCTGGAAGGGCTCAGTGTTGAATACAATTCTCAACGGTGTTTGGAATCCTCAGGAGTAGGACATGCTGAACCCCAGCTGGCTCCTAATTGCCCTTCACTCGGGTTGAGGCAACACTGAGAAAGGAAGTAGGTAGCATACTCCATTCTCCCTCAGACACCCCAGTTTCATAATCCCTAAGAGTACCACCAGCTCACCCCACTGTGAATTTCTAGATCAGAAACCAGGGAGGCCTCCTGATTCTTCACCCAGGAAGGGTACCAGTACATATAGTCCAATGGACAACAGTGTGGTGGCACGAGCCTTCAATCCCAGCACTCTGTGAGTTCAAGGTCAGCCTGATTCACAGAGTTCCTGAATGCCAGGACTACTTAGACAGACCCTGCCTCAAAAGAAAAAAAAATACAGTGAGTGTGAGTTGTGGTCCTCTCCAGTGAGTGTGGGCTGTGGTCCTTCTGTGGAGACTATATCTGGGATTGCTCCCTGAAGTTTATTTCTCCCCCCTCTTCCTCGGAGCATCACTACAAAACTACTTCCAAGAAATCCTAACTTCCTGAATGGCTCCATGGGGTGGGGTTGTGAGGTGGACAACAATAACAAACAGAGATTTCTGTTTAAGAGATAATCTCCGTGAAGTACAAGAAACCTGCGCCTCTGCTAAAGATAACAGCCTTTCATTGTGTTTCCGGAAGTTCCTTAATGAAGTCTGGGTAGAGGGCTGGGAACAAGCAAACTGCTGTCTCGGGCTTGGAGAAAGTACAATGATCATTTATTTATAGGGTCAGAAACAAAGGACTTATTTCCAGGCAGAAAATAGAGTGGAAGAGTCTAGTGAGATCACTGATAATTTAATTTCTATGAATTAAATAATTAATTGTAGTTTATAATATACGCTGTTTGGGTGTGGCATTTGTAATACAAGCGATGCTTTCTGCATTTCTGGTCTCAAATCTCAAGGCCTTTTTATGCAGTCATGGTTAAATGACTACATTTTGGACAAACCCAGGTATGCTTCTGTAGTAAAATCATTTGAAAATAAGACTTCTTAGGTTGAATATTAGAAAACACAACAGAGAGGATCTGTAACCACTGAAAGATACAAAAATCTAATTTTTTCCCAAACATTGACAGACTTTATTGTGGGGGAGATTCCTGCCTGGGACCCCACTCTCTTAAATAAAAAAGTAGATAGAAAAGAAGGGATTTAGAAACCTTTGTACAATATCTACATCCTGGGTCTCTGTTGTATCCTCAGTTCACAGAACAGTTCTCAGTACATAATCACTAACTAATAGATACTTTAATAGAATAAAAGTGTCTCGGGAGCTTGGGCATAGGCAATGATGTTATTCTATAGTCGAAAGGAAAGAATGCCAAAAGGCTCCTTAGCAGCACCCAGGGTGTAACTCCAGCGGAAAACGTAGTTTTTGTTGAGAGAGGCTACCACCTCGTGACCCAGACTGACCTTGAACTGGTGACCCCTCTGCCTCAGACTCCAGACTCCTAAGATTACAAGCTTTACATTCCACTATTCCTTTTGAATGACCTTGGAAGAAGACCTTGGAAGAAATAGTTTTTTTTTTTTTTTTTTTTTTCGAGACAGGGTTTCTCTGTGGCTTTGGAGCCTGTCCTGGAACTAGTTCTTATAGACCAGGCTGGTCTCGAACTCACAGAGTGCTGGGATTAAAGGTGTGCGCCACCACCGCCCGGCAGAAATAGTGTTCTTAAGCAAGAGAGCTGTGTGAGAATCCCACATCTACCATGTGCCAGCAATACTACAGCAGATGAACGCTGTAACCTTGTCCACTCCCGCACGGCAGGCAAATAAAGTGTGCCTTCCTCTCAGACTGCTGTTGTTGACCTACAGTGCTGACCCTGAGGTGTAGTGGAAGGGGTGGGAGGGCCGGGGGGTTGCGCGGGAGCCAACACTCCAGAATCAAAAGCAGACAAGGGCATTTGCAAGTGGATTGCTTGCAGTGCTGTAACAAGTGCAGACATTGCCAGTTTGTTTTTCAGATTATAATTCCTGTCGAATTCAGAGAGTAAAAGTGTCAGCAACCTTCTTCTGCCTGGGGAAAGTTACAGTTTAGAGTGGTGACAAGCTGGAGAGATGGCTCAGAGCTTAAGAGCACTGGCTGCCCTTTCAGAGGTCTTGAGTTCAACTGCCGCAACTACGTGGTGGCTCACAACCATCTGTAGTGAGATCTGGTGCCCTCTTCTGGCCTGCAGGCATACATGCAGGCAGAACACAATATATACAAAATCAAGAAGTAAATAAATCTTTTCTTTTAGAAAAAGCTGAAGGTCGAGCACAGGACTCAGGGCATACAGAGGGATTGTGTGTTTACTCCAGGTAGCCTGGCGCCCAAAAGACAGGAGAGTTACTCTCCCTACCCTTGTTAGAGTGCTGTGTTGGTTGTGCGTCAGGTAAAGCATTAGCGCCTGTTCCCCAAGGGGATCATCAGCCTCCGGGTTGACAAGTCCTCGCTGAACAACACTCACATGACGGCAGCCAAGTCACAGTCCCCGTCGGCTCTCTGGATGCTGCAGGCGTTCACTCTCTCCAGAAGCCTTCTGGAGACGTGGTGGGAAACCTCAGTGCAGCAGCTGGCAGCGATGGGGAGTATGGCTGCGGGAAGGTGGAGGAGGCGACGTTAGTCTGCAGAATGCCGACCTGCCCTCAGCCTACAGGTTCCAGAGAAACACTGTAAGCCCACTCAAGCAAGTACTTCTTGGTGGCTTCATGAGTGCAAAGGCAGCACGTGTCTCGACCTTCTAGAACTTAAGCTGTATTATGAGGAAGAAAATGTAAATCTAGGCTGGCGACGATGACCCGTGGCAGATGGAGGAGAGGGCGGAGTTAGTGGTGGCCCCGTGCAGTTAGTTCATTTTGAAAAAGAGAGGCCCCATGGGCCTCCGGTGAAGGCTTGAAGTTTGCTGTTAGAGAGACTTGGCTCGCCTACCGAGTGTGAGGTCACCGATTTAGTCCCCAGCACCACCACCGCCAGCAAGAAGCACGGGGGCACACTCCTGTAACCCTAGCACTCAGGAACAAGAGGGGAGAAGGCTATCCTAGTTTGGGGTCAGCCTGGGCTACATGGTGAGATTCTGTCTAAAAATCAGAACAACATAAAAACAAAATTAAAAAAAAGTTCAGAGACAAAAGCACATGACACAGTTAGGGTGTGTTTTCTGATCTGAGCAAGCTAGGAAGGCCAGTGTTGGCAGATACAACTCAGGTGATGATGAACTGACATCCCTAGATCCTCAAATGTCGGTCTGAGGAGGCTTAGCTTTTGTGGAGAGGGGATCACTGTTTGATAAAGATTGAAGAAAATCCATCTTGTAGTGATAATGAAGGAGGAAGAAGTGGCGGGGGATGACGGGAGCGGTAGGTGACATTGAAGTGAGCTGACGAGGTCACGAGATGAGGAGTCAAAGACAGCCCAAATACGTTACAATAGCTGCAAATTCCTCCACACGCAGTATTCCCCACGCTTTCCGTTTTCACCAGCTGAATAGTGAACACAAGGCCATAATCCGCTAAGCGTTTAGCGTATGTTAGTAGTTAGGACCAGTGATGCCTTGACAAGATCCAAAATACAAAAGACCGGAAAGAACTTTGGTGAAGAATGTGAACGGGGTAGATTGAATGAAGGGCAGCGCTAAGATTCTGTTGGATAACACTGCCCCCTAGAGGCTCTCTTAAGCAAAGACCTGTCAGCATGTCTCTTTTATAAAACACTCCACTACTTTGATTTCAATCACCAACTCCAGAATTTTACGTAAGAGAGATTTAGAGGTACCAAGCAGGTTGAAGAAGAGAATTACACTTGAAACTGCTAGTGGAAAACATGGAGGAAAAACATCAAGACCCAGGCATAGACAACGAGTTTCTGAATATTGCTCCTAGCTCAAGGAACAACAGCAAGGACTGGCAGATCGGATCACACCAAACTCATAAGCTTCTGCACAGCCAAAGAAAACAATGAAGAAGCTGGATGGTGGTGGCGCACCCCTTTAATCCCAGCACTCGAGAGGCAGAGGCAGGCGGATCTCTGTGAGTTCGAGGCCAGCCTGCTCTACAAGACAGGCCCCAAAGCTACAGAGAAACCCTGTCTCGAAAAACCAAAAAAAAAAACAAAACAAAACAAAACAAAAAAAAAAAACAATGAAGAGACAGGCATCAGAGTTGGAACAGGTCTTTGCCAGATCTTCAGAATCAGAATGTATACAGAACTGAAAGAAACCAGGCCCTTCAAAAGAATAAATAACCCTTTCAACAAATGGGCAAATGAACTCATATTAGACACTTTCCAAATGAAACAATAAAACTAATTCATAAACATATGGAAACAATTTTCAGCGTCTTTAGCTACCAGGGAAATACAAATTAAGAAGAGTACAATGAGATTACTTTTCATGGCAGTCAAAGTTATAGTCATCAAAAAAAAAAAAACCCGCAACCAAACCAAAGCAAAATGAAAAACAATGACTACTGGTAAAGATACAAAGAAAGGGACCTGCTACATGGTTGAGATTGCACGTAGAACAGCAACAGTAAAAAAAAAATATGCATGGAGATTTCTCAAAAATTAAAAATGGTACCACTGTGTGATGCGCAAAGAGACTGAAGTCAGTATACCACAGAAATACTCATACACCCGTGTTTATTATGGAACTATTTACAATACCCAAGTTACGGATCAGCTAAGATACAGGAATTTGGAGACTTGGTACCCAGTGGGTGGCGCTGTTTGGAAGAGGTTGTAGAGCCTTTAGGAGGTGGAGCTTTGCTAGCGGAGGAGGTATCCCTGAGGGCGCGGTTTGAGAGAGTTGCCTCCGTTTTCGGTAGGCAGTGGAAGATGTGAGCTCTCAGCTTCCTGCTCTGACTGCCCGCTGCCATGGTTTCCTTGCCATTATGGACTCCTTTACTGGGACTGTTAACGAACTCTTTCTTCTCTAAGTTGGTCTGCGTCAGTACGGTAACTAATACAGTGCACGTCAACGGATATAGAAGGAAGAGGATAGGAACGGAAAGGGGGCTTGCCAAGATTGCTCAGTGGGTGAAGGGACTGACCAGCCTGATGCTCTGAGCCTGGTCTATGGGAACCACAGGGTGCGAGGAGAGAGCCAACTCCTGAAGGTTGTTCTCTGACCCCTACATGCATGTCCCATGGCACTCGTGCACCCTTCCATCCCCCCCCCCCGTACAAAGAGATAAATGTGATAACATTTTTTAAAAAGGATAGAAGGGGTCTCTAGGAATGTGGAAGGGGGAGCGAGGAGGAGAAAGTAGAAAATGGTAATAGAGGGGTTGACTCGATGAAAGTACACTATGTACGTGTATGCAAGTGTAATGAAATGCTAATAAAAGGTGGAATTACAAGTCAATTATTCTGCAACTACATTTTCTTTTACTTAGATGACACTGTACTTTGTGGAGGAAGCTGACACTAGATGAAAGAGATCAAATCTTCCCCTAAAGACTGCCCGAATGCCATCAGTGCAAGAGGCCAGGAATATCACGGGACACAACCTTTCTTTCCCTCATAGACTACACAAACACAGATCTGTCTGATGGAGGTAGCATTCCTCCGAAGAGATGACAAATGGAAATTCTAGAGAAGTCTGGCCGGATCGGCGTGTAAAGCAGTCCGCACCTATGAACGAAATCCGACTGAAGCGTAAACTTGCCAGAGGCAGTGAACAACCAGCTGGCTCCAGCTTCACCCACAACCGGTCCTACAGGTGCCAGGTTGCATTGGAAAAGGACATGGCATAACAGATCCACATCAGAATGTCCTTTCAAAAGTGATTGGTGAGATGGATGAGTGCCGTTTCCTGATGACAAATGAAGCAGACACTGAGGTCAGTCACCAGAAGCTTCTTACACGGAGGAAGAACGGCAGGCTACTCGGTGTGTGGGCAGAGAAGTCTGGGGTGAATGTTAGGACAGAATAGCAGCAGGCTACCCCGAAGGCAGGGTAAATTATTAATTTATTGGTCATAATTTATTAAATTTATTCACCTTTGTTTTTGTTTGTTTAAAAAATACATCTGTGTTAATAAATTGGTTTATACCTTTATTGTCCGATATTATCTTTGGGAGACTTGAGTATTAAGGCTATATTCATGCTGATGATGCACTGGGCAGCTTTCTCTGGTTTTTAATTTTGAATTCTTAGAAAAAGTTTCCATAAGGATTATTTGTTCCTTCAGTTTTTGGTAAAATCTCCAGGCACTGGGGGCTTGGGTCCAAAGGAAAGAAGTTTAACTCTGATTTATTTTATAGTGATTGGATACTTACATTTTTAAATTATTCACTGAAGGGCTGGGGTTGAAGTAGCTCAGGGGTGGACCACTTGCCTGGCTATGTGCTTAAGGCCTAGGTTCATTCTCCAGTACTGTTTCCAAAACAAAAAGCTTCTTGAAAGTTTGCTAAGAAATTGTTCTTCTTATCCACAATTTGAAATTTATTATTACAAAGTTTCATAGTTATCTTACTTACCATAATATTATAGTAATTATATTTACTATAATAATAAAAAGAATAATATAAATAAATATGAAAGGACACTAGCTCACTCGAGCACGTGGCTCTGGCAAACCCTTCCCTTTGCGTTGCTAAAAACCTACATTTCTAGGCTAGCCACGAAGGTCTATTCTCTTATTTGACCACTTCCTTCTCCTGATTCTGATTACCAAGATCCAACTATCAAAGTATTAAACTCCAGCAATCAAAAGCCCCCTTTGTTTCACCTAACACACTCCCATCAAAATATACCACGACATCCTCGTCCATTCTGACACAGACCTCACCTTTTTTTCTCTTCTTAAAAATTGAACACCCGCAAGGTCATTTGCTGCTGTTTTCTGAGTCAGAAAGCAGCCACTTTAACTTTTCTTCCCTGCGTAATAAAGAATCTGTGAAAACAGGTGTTTGGGTGTAATTTGTGCCTAATTGTGGGACCGAGAGGCAGCCCCCATTGTTTGGGGTTTTCCTTCAATATAATAATTTAAAAACCGTCTTATGATTGCATACCGTATTTAAAGAGCGATCCCTATGCAAAATAACAAACATTTATAAACGTATTTTGCTTAGAAACTAAAAGATTTAAAACTTATGAATTAAAGTAGAAATCACAAAACACTAATAAAGAAGTACAAAATAATACTATTTATCACGGATAGAACAGAGTTAAGTCTAGATGTGGTGTTTTCATTTAAAACACATAGAGAACAAAATTGGAGGTCTCACGAACCTGGAAAATTTAGTCTCTGGAAGCCGGAAAGCACGCCGTGGCGTCGCTTTACGGCTGTCGTGCCGGGTTCGCTTCCGTCGTGCCGCTCATGTCCCTGCTGGCGGCCGTGCTGCTGGTGACTCCGAGCCGGGTGGCAGCAACTAGAAACGGTGTCGGTCAGTGTGTTACTGTGGGGACACCCTGCTCTCTTGCGGTCTCTCCTGACGTCAGCTTGTGCGTCCTAGAGAGTCATGCCACCGGCCTCTGCTATCCCCTGATCTGGCAGGTGAGGGGGGGGTGCGCATGCGCATCCTTCTGTTTCCTAGATGGCCCAGGCCAGCCCCAAGACTCCCTTCCACATCGCGGATCTGTTTGAGGATGTCGTAATTTCCGAAATCAACCAGGAGTAGTATAGTGTTTTCACATTGTCAGGGAAACACTGTAATTACAGTCTTATTAAGTGCATTAAAAATGGAATTTTTAGAAACTGCGACTAATAAAACACACACTTAAGTGTATTAACCTTGCTCTTCCAGCATTCCGCTCCCGTGCCTCGCATATTCTGTGCCCTCCCTGTGTGTATGGCTTTTGATGAAATTATTTCAGATTCTTGTATTCCTATCGCCATTACAGCTTTTTGCAGAAGTCTTTTCTTTTTTAATATTAACGTTGCTACACTAACCTTCTTTGTTCAGTATTTGTTAAACGCATTTTTTCAATTCACCTTAGTTCTGTTTGAGTGAGATACCCACCTATCCATGCTTGGGAACTACACCCGGTCCTTCGTCTTCAATCTTATTTTTAGTTTTTTAGAGACAGGGACTCACTGTGTAGTCCAGGCTGGCGTCTAACTCATTGAGATCAGCCCACTTCTGCCTCCTGGTTGGACAAGGTGCAGAGAATGAGACTTTAGAGCCCTCAGCCCTAAATGGTACATCTTCATCAAACTCCTCAAGGCTCAGCGATCTATTTGGAAGAGGAGGTAGAAAGAGATTGTAGGAGCCAAAGACGATGGTGGCGCCAAGGAAGCAGTGTCCTCCAGCCCACGGGACTGATATACTTTTCACCTCACAGAGACTGTGGCAGCAGGAACTGGGCCTTCACACGTTCAAGCCAGAGAGGGTCCCAGGGCCGAGAGGGGCAGTGGACTGACTTCCACCCTTAACCAAGAAGCTATCTGCAACGATGCCCACTGACAAAGGAAAAATTGGTTTTTCCAATGAAGTCTCGCTGGTTTATTAACCACACTTCAGGGTAGGCCCTGTTCTAGGAGTGGCTGGCCAACACAAAATGAACTCAATGCTGTTTCTGTAGTCATTTTTGTCTCATTTTGCTTTGGGCATTTTTTTTTTTGGTCTTATTTGATCTTCTGCTTTGCTTTTGTGTGCGTGTTAGAACCCAGGGCCTCCTGCAGGCTAAATGCTGTTCACTCAGTTGTATCCTAATCCCATGGTTTTATCAATTGATTTTAAAGATCAACAAGAGGGGCCAGTGAGCTAGCTCAGTGAGTGAAATGCTTGTCACACAAATCTGACAACCTGAGTTAAATCCCAGAACCCACATAAAAGCGGAAGGAAAGAAATCTACTCCACAGGGTTGTCCTCTGACTTCCACATGCGCATATAATGGAAGGTCTGCCCCATTCCATTATAGATAAACACACCAGTCGTTTTTTAAAAAAAGTCTAAAAATAGAAAAACCTGTGGGAAGGAAAGGAGGCGAGCCAGCAATTGCTGAGTGTCTACTCTTTGCCAAACACCATGCACGCGATCTCATTTAACCATGAGGATAACTAAGAGAAATATTATTCTATAGAAAAAGAAATGAGTTATGAGAGACAAAGCAATTTCCCTAGTTCATGTTTAGAGCTCTTAATCTTGTCATGCAAAACCCACACATCCCCGTATGTCAGCGTTTCTCAGACTGGGTTTCCTAGACCTCTGGAAAAGTCCAACAGAGGCTTTCCCCGCAACCATGAACTCTCCGGAGAGCCAACGTATTAGTCGAGTGACCTTCTAGCCAGTGGGCTCTGGTCTTCCAGAAGGCCATCTTAGCAGAGGACTTTGAGGACATTGGATGTGTCATGGTAATGCCAGTGAGGTTAGCAACTGTGATACCATCTTCATTGCCCCGGGACCATCAGAAAATAACCAATTGGACTTCTCAATGCAGTCACACTGAGGGAAGGCCAAGTTTCCTCTGTCAGTGAGGTTCAAGCAGAAACAGGTGAAGAGCAAACACTTGTCAGCCCGCTCTGCAGGGCGTGCGTCAGACCCATAGTCAAGCCGCCTCCACCAGGGGGGGCAGTTCTGCTCACAAGAGCGATTTCACTTGCGGTCAAACTTGATTAATTAACGTCAACATATTGAAACCATCTCGACTTTGTAGTCATGCTTTTTAATTTTAGCATTGTAATTGTAGAAGTTGTTTATAATTACACAGTTATTCTTGATTTTGTTCATACGAGAAGGAACAATAAGACCATTTAAACACTGAGAATGAAGAGGGTGCTTCCCTTCAAAGGAACCCACACATGACTCATGTTGGAAAAGGCTGCCATTATATTACACTGTTTCCTTAACATAGAAAACGATGTTAAAAAAAAAACACCTGTAACCACATTACAGATACAGCCACTCTTAGGACCCAAAATATAACAGTTCATCGATGATCTAGGATTGAGGAACTACATAAACATGTTTTGATTACAGGGTATACCCGATGACAACCTGAAGGAAGCAGGTTACCATTACATCATGAACCTCTGCTGTGAAAGAGCCCTACCTGGAAGAGCGACTTTCCAAACACAAACACATACTGGGAATCCCTCCTACAAATGCTTTGGTAAGATCATTTCTTAGCATCAAGTGTATAACAAGTATCTGCGTGATTCAGGAGCCATCGTGATGGTTGTGAGAAAGTAGGCCGCTCACAGATAACTTAGGACCCACGGATGAAGCAAAATCTTACAACCTGCATCTTTTGAATACAAATGAAACCTGAGTTAAAGTATAATTAAGACGGCCTGGGGCCCGAGAGAGAGAGAGAGAGAGAGAGAGAGAGAGAGAGAGAGAGAGAGAGATTAAAGGCATTTGCTGCGGAGGTTGATCTGAGTGTGAGCCCCAGGGTTCACAGGGTAGGAGAAAACTGAGTCCTATAAACTTTCCTCTGACCTCCACATGGTTCCACGGAGGCCCCTGCCAAACATAGATTAAAATGTGATGCACACACACACACACACACACAAACACACACACACACAGAGGTAAGTGAAGCCAACCATGGACTCTGGAGTTGAACAATCTGGCTCAGGGTCACTGGATGGCAGACGATGCTCATGGACTCAACAATGAGTCTCTGAAGCCAGCAGCCACATCGACAGATGTAGGGTGTGCTCTGCCTCTGGACGGAGTCCAAGGTTTTGGTCACGGATAACATCCCCTGCTTCCTGAATGATTTGGAACACTTTGGAAATGCCAATTACCGAAGCATCACGTTGAGATAATGATTTAAGATGCCATTAAGATAATGGGACAGTATTGTCCCTGAAAGAACAAAATGTGTTTCCTGGTCTCAGATTGGCACAGACCACTTCCTTGTACCTCTCTCCAGTCTGCTGCAATGGCCAAGGCCACCTGCCATCTTTTCTACCCTGCTGTGTCTTCCTCACCTCCCTCCCTATTTGGCTCTCTACCACCATCTTGGATCCAGAATCATTACCATAGGGCACCCTCCTTCAAATGGAAACTTACTGAAAAAGACCTGGCATTGGGCCTTCTTAGTTCCACAACTGTTCTCGGCCCCACTTCCATGAATTTTAACTCAGTATCTTTCTTCAAGACAGGGTTTCTTTGTGTAGCCCTGGCTGTCCTGGAACTACCTCTGTAGACCAGGCTGGCTTAGAACTCACAGAGATCCACCTGCTTCTGTCCCTTAGAGCTGAGATGAAAGGCAGGGGCCACCACTGCCTGGCTATTTTTAAAGGTTTTTTTTTTTTTTTTTTTTTGGTTTTTCGAGACAGGGTTTCTCTGTGGCTTTGGAGCCTGTCCTGGCACTAGCTCTGTAGACCAGGCTGGTCTCGAACTCACAGCGATCCGCCTGCCTCTGCCTCCCGAGTGCTGGGATTAAAAGCGTGTGCCACCATCGCCCAGCTAAAGGTTTTTTCTTTTGTTTGTTTGTTTTAAAATGTGTTTTGCCTGAGTTGTGTTTGTGCCCATGTGCATGCAATGCCTGAAGAAGCCAGAAGAGGGCACCAGATCTCCTGGATCTGGAGTTACAGACAGTTGTGAGCAGCCACGTAGGTGCTGGGAATGGAACCCAGTTCTCTGCAAGGGCAGCCAGTGCTCTTAACGACTGACCCATCTCTCCACTCCACCGCACATACAACATCACTTATTTTAAATGGCAGAAGTTGGGGTTTGTCAGACAGAGTGGTGGTTTCCCTGTTCCAAACAGACTCCAATAAGGGCCAGAGGCTGGACCACACGCTGGGAATCTCAGTTTTCTGATTATCACCACCAGACACGCTCTTCACCGTAGCTGTTTGTCCCTTACCCCTCTCTTTTTTAAAATTTCTTTTCTTTTTTTAAAAAAAAATTTGCTTATTTATTATGTATACAATATTCTGTCTGTGTGCATGTCTGCAGGCCAGAAGAGGGCACCAGACCTCATTACAGATGGTTGTGAGCCACCATGTGGTTGCTGGGAATTGAACTCAGGACCTTTAGGAAGAGCAGGCAATGCTCTTAACCACTGAGCCATCTCTCCAGCCCCCCTTACCCTTCTCTTCCAGGACCCAGCCTCTGTGAAGTTTGGTGCTGCAAGGTAGAGCTGTCCTCATTCTCGGCCATTCTGCCCTTCCCTTTCCCTGAAGGAGGACTGCTGGGGGTGGGGGTGTATGTGCACCTGGAAACAGATCCGGTAGCTGGAAGCTTCATTGCAAAGCTCTGCATGAAATCTTATTGGGTAGAGTTGCCGATGGTGGGCGTCACACCTGAGCTAGTAAATGGAGAGTCCCTGCAAGTCCTGCAGGCGCAAGGGTGAGCTTCTCTGGAGAGATATTGTGAAATAAATGAAAAGCTTCCTTCTCTATCTTGTTAATAGAAATGGAAGAGGGGGCCAAGTATTTCCTCTTCTGGTTCACTTGCGCCAAGTACCTTGCCGGACTCCACTGAAGTCCTTAAGCAAACGCTGACAGGAAGGACACTGTTAGTAGGACGCAGATCACCCCGGCAGAGGGACAGCTGCCACCAGCTGCAGCCCAGGCCAAAGAACCACCGTTGCCAAGTCTGAGTTTTTTTTCTGTTCAGGGCCTTGAACCCACGGCCATATGCTTGCTTGGAGGGCTCTCTGAGCTACACCTCCAGCCTCCAACTCTCACTTCTAAGAGAAGCTCTAAATCCTCTGTGTGTGTGTGTGTGTGTATGTGTGTAAACAAAGGTGTGATTGTGAAATTTGTGTTGAAATGTTGGCGTGTGCACTTAAAAAGCGAACTAGACAAAGTTTACATTCCACCTCTGCTCTGCAAACTCTGTTTAGGATGTAGCATAAGAAAAGATAACTAGAAGGGCCCCATCATCCGTAACTTTCTAGGCGTCGAGGGCTTCTTTCTTCTTTTTCTTTGGGGGTGGGGGATTAATGCTCTATTTATAATCTGTCTCCCGGGAGATATTCCACTTAAACTGTCTGTGGCCCATATTAGTGTCGTGGTTCATTTGCTTACATATTCCAGGCGTTCAGTGCTAGCACGATGTGGTGGCTCCTGCCCGGAATCCCAGCATTGGGGAGGCTGCAGCAGAAGGGCTGCCGTGCCTCTGAGGCTCGTCTGCGAGGTATCGTGGGTTCTAGGCCAGCCAGGGCTGCCGAGTGAGACGCTGTAGATTAGCGGTAGAGGAGATGTTCTTAAATGCGGTAGTGGATGCTGCTGGAGTGGGTGCAGATGCAGTTACGATCCACATAGTTACCACCAACGCAGAAGTTAAGTTCTCTTCAGAACACTTTGCACGGCTCAGTCTTCTCCATCATGGTCCCCTTTCTAAGGGCTAAGACTGAAGTTCGGTACCCACAAGCTCAAGAAACCTGGAGCTTACCTGCCAACACTGGTTTTTTTTTTCCCCTCTAGGGAAAAAATGCATACACAAACACAGAGACACAAATGTACACACATGTGCACGCAGATACATGTATACACACAATCCTACACACAGAATCCAGCCGTCTGAGGCATTTGGATGGAGAACAATGGCTCTGCCCCAGCTTCTAGCTGGGAAAAGCGAGTGTTCTGCCACCAGAAAGTCGCACCTGCACGGAAGGCTTCGTCTCCCATAGTGGATTCATATTCCCGGGGAAACGAGTTCCTCCCCAGTTCCCTGACCTTGAACCCGTGCCCTTCTCCAGATGATCAAAGAGCAACAGAAAAGTCTCATCCGAAGACAGAGACTCCTACAGCACCAACTTAGAAGGCATCTCCCCCACCCCCCACTCGCCCTGGAGCCCCAGGCCACTGGTGCCTCCAACTCACCTTCTGAGGTCCGGAGAGCCACACACACAGCCGCAGCTACGAGAGTAAGCCTTGCCTGCTGCATTCCTGCCTGAGCCACTGAGTCTGGCAGTGACTGGAGTGAGGCTGTGGGATCAGGAAGTGAATGTAAAGGTGTCCTTGGGTGCCCAGTTGAAGTAGGCCAGGTAGCCCCGCCCTGGGAGGTTCTCAGTTTCTTTAATGCCAGATTCCAGCAGGCTGTTAATCCCCTGCCTGATGTTTGTTCACATTGCCTGGGACTAGAGAACACCTGTGGCCGTGTGGCAGCTGATGTCCTAACAGAATCACACGGATGCCATTGAACATATAGTTGTCTACAAGAACATATCTGCCAGCTCCCATCTGCACACCGGAGTAATAGGGGAAGAGCATCATTTGAATTTCATAGAAGCTTCATGGATGAATCTGATGGGCGCTTCCGTTGGGAATCATTGCTTAAAAGAAACAGTTATTTTTGGCTGGATGGTGATCACTCAGGAGAGAGAGATAAGTGATAAGCGGGCCTCTGTGAGTTCGAGGCCAGCCTAGTCTACAGAGTGAGTTCCAGGACAGACTCCAAAGCTACAGAGAAACCCTTTTTCAAGCAAAACAAAACAAAACATAAGTTACTTACTTTTCTATTTTTTGGGGTTTGAGATAGGGAGTTTCTGGGGATAGGTTATTATTAGCATCTTCTCTCTCCCTCACATCACTTCCTTGGGGCCCTAGAATGAAACGATTGTTGGGCAGGGTCACTAGGAGACATGTTTCACAGCATGAAGAACCGAGAAGATTAAAACCCACTCACGGAATGACTATGACGAGAATCACAGCCTTGGGGGCAGGGTTCGCCTCATCATTGCACTACAAAGCAAACCTAATGTCCACTAACAGGAACCTGTAGTCCTTGCAGGGTCCAGTGCCACATCCTTCTGAACCAAGACCCAGGTGAGAGAAATACTGGGGTAGACTGGTTTTGGTTAAGGTGAAGGAAAAAGTGAATCATGAGGCTTTGTCAAGAGAAACTACGGTGTAGGCTCTGGTTATGGACTATGTGATGTGTTGAGGGGAGTTCTTACGTAGTCAATCCAGCCTGTGTTCAGGAGGCCACATGTGGCCCAGGATAGCTATGAATGTGGCCCAATGGATTTGTAGATGACAGCATCAAGTTGCAAAATGCCAAAAAGTTGGACATCCCTACCCAGGGGCCAGTGTTAACTCAGAAAGACCCTAAAATGGTGGTGGATATTAGTAGGGCTCGTTATGACAGTGGATTCCAATATGGCTGACTTATAAAGATAAAAGGCTTACTCATTTAGCTCACAATCTGGGAGGTCCTAGAATCAGAGTGTCATCAGCTTGGAGCTCAGTTGAGCCAAAACACAATGGAGATGCCAGTGTCCAGGTGGGTCTAAGAAGCTTCCAACATCAAACAGGATGCCAGATGGGAAGAGGTTGGCATCCCACAATCCTTTGTGAAGGTGTACATTTGGGTACCACTCAAAGACTCCATCACCTCCCAACAGCAACCCCCTAGGAACTAGGGTTTTAGTCACAGTCCCTGGAAGGATGCTCAGCTTCAGACCACATAAAGTGGTTTCAGAAGTTTTTTTTATTATTTAAATGAAGCCATGGATGAGAAGATCAGGAATGGAGTGGTATTAGGGCACAGGACAAAGCTGGAGGGCAGAGAGTGAGAAGGTATTTGAGGGAGGACACTGAGGACATAAAATGATGTGTGTCTTTGTGCTTTCCACTGTGAAACATCCCTTAGGCTAGGGAGCTCCAGCTGTAAACTTCTACAGATTCATTTCTTGGTTAGGAAAAATCAGATAGTTCTAAGAGAAGTGAGGTGACCCGATGGGCCAGGAGGGGGATTATGCTTTTGGAAGGAAGTCAGGAACAGAAAGGCAAAGGCCGGGAGTTCTTGTATATGGAAGCTGGGTGTGGAAATCCACAGTAACAGGTGATCTCCAGAGTCTGAGGAGGGTTGGGGTCAGATGGAGAAGGAAGGGTACCAGGCTTGAGGGTGCTGCTGAAGAAGAGAAGTAATGTTTGATGTTCAGTGGCACAAAGCATAACTAATTAACATAGTTTCTGTGCGAGGATTTGGGTCCGAGCAGTTACAGGTGTGCACAACTGACTGAAACGAGTGTTCCTGTGTGTTTACTTGGAAGTGTCACCCCAGCCCCTGGCATCCCTATATCCAAAGAGTCTGGAATGTTTGGGTGGAAAGTTCCATCCCAGGCCCCCTCCCCTGGGAGTTGCCTTAGTCCAAACTCCACCTCAGAGAAAGCCCGCCAATCTGTGACCCCTCCTCAGAGATGTTCAAGACCCACACTCCTACAGGGTATTTAAACTGCACCCCTCCCCAGGACAAACGTGTGTTTTTCCGCTCTTCCTTTCCCATCTCCTCTCTCTGCGGGCCTGGAAGGACACCCGGGAGCATTAGTATCCATTAAATCTGGGCTTTTTCTAATTTGGTTTGATTTGGTCTGATTTGGAGAGGTTTATTGGGACACAGAAACTTTTCATTGAGTGATTTTCTTGATTAACTGCCGAATATTCAGATCACTTGTGTTCTTTTTCTGGTGTGTATTATTACTAAAACAATCTTGTTGCTGGGAAGCCAACTGGCAGCCTGTCCATGCTAGTCAAATTACTGAGCTACACTCCCATCTCCAGTAATGCTTATTATGACCATAGCAATGCGGTCGTGGTCAGTCTTGTAATCTGTGTCCACGCATCCCAATGTTTTCTTAAGTAAGTTCTTAGGAATGATTTCTCTAGGGCATGGGAGGTATCTAGTAAGCTAAGATGCTTTCCACACAAGGGTGAGGACTTGAGTTTGGATCTCAGAACCCAGGTCCAGGCAGGATTTGACAGTACACATCTGTATTCAGAGCACTTCCACTGCGAGATGGAGGAGGAGCCAGGAAAACCCTCAGAGACTCGAGGGCCAGCTAGCCCGGTGTGCACAGGAATGAACAATATACCTGTCTCAGCCATGTGGAAGGGTAGGACTAACACCCGCGGTAGTCTTCTGGCTCCATTCATGTCTGTAAACAGACACATGAACACACACACATGCAAACATTTTTTTAAAAAACATTAGAATTCTTAAAATGTATGTCCCTCTGAATCACTTTTAATATAAATCCCCACTTCTCTCAGGGCCTGCAAACATCTCTGCTCAACCTTTCTCCTGAACGCAGGAAGGGAAGGGTGTGTGAACATGCTCCTCTCTATACCAAATGGCTAGCTCGGTGAGCAACAAATAATGGGTTCTCATTGTTTGCTGAACGGATAATAATCTGGATAACTAAGATCATCGGTGCATGGATAACTAAGATAACTAAGGTCATCGGTGCATGGGGAAAACCACACTAGTGGGTCTGAACGGTTTTCAGTCCGTACCTTTGACCTCTTCTCAGTACTTGCCGTTGTACTGGGAAGAATGCTTTAAAATTTGTTACTCTGTGGGGATTATTTTCTCTATTATAGTAAAACAAAAAAAATATATATGAATTAGAGGAGGACTAAGGATCTAGAGGTTGAATCAGGGCCAGGGGGCATGGGTGGTGTGCTGTGTGAGAATTCGGGACACCGTATTCTCTAGGAACAATATTGGTCCTTTTCCAGCTAAGGCGTCTCGTGGTTTATGGTTTAATGAAATGTGTGATAGGATTGGGCATATAAAATGCCAAAGCAAACAGGGAAGCACAGAGGACTAATCAGAGGACAAAGTTTGAGCCCGAAACAGTAAGAAGGGAGTTTCCCTCGGGCTGAATTCCTGGTTAACACTATAGTTCCCTGACTGGCAGGAATACTTATGTTTCCAGATCCCTGAACACTCTGAATTTATCCCTATGTCATCGTGTTCTGTTTTATTCCGATGCTGAGGCACAGTAGTCAGGTGACTCTTATGGGGTCCGCCGACAAGCCAGGAGGCAGAGGGCACAGCGGTACTGACAGCTAGCAGAAAGAAAAACAAAGCAGGAACGACCAAGTTAGTTGTTTTTATTATTGTTATTATTATTATTATTTTATTGCCTTAAAAAATACCAATCCAAATTCCCACTCCCTCCCCCTCCAGTCCTAAGAGAGGACAAGGCACCCTGCCCTGTGGCAAGTCTAAGCCCCTCTCTACTATATCTAAGTTGAGCAAGGTATACATCTAAAGAGAATAGGATCCCAGAAAGCCATTGTATGCAGTAGAGACAAATCCCAGTGCCACTGCCAGTGGCCCCTCAGTCTGCCCCAACTGTCAACCACATTCAGAGTGACTAGTTTGATCCCATGCTCGTTCGCTCCCAGTCCAGTTGGAGCTAGTGAGCTCCCATTAGCTCAGGCAAACTGTTTCAGTGGGTGAACCCCTCATGGTCTTGACCTCTTTGCTCATATTCTCACTCCTTCCACTCTTCAACTGTACCTTGGGAGCTCAGTCCAGTGCTCTGATGTGGTTTTCTGCCTCTGTTTCCATCTGTTGTTGGGTGAAGGTTCTATGGTGATATTTAAGATAATCATCAGTCTGACTACAGGGCAAGGCCAGTTCAGGCACCCTCTCCTCTATTGCTTAGGGTCTTAGCTGGGGTCATCCTTGTGGATTCCTGGGAATATTTCTAGGGCCAGGTTTCTTGCTAACCCCATAATGTCTCCCTCAATCAAAATGTCTCTTTCCTTGCTCTCATTTCTGTCCTTCCTCCATCTAGACTATCCCATTCCCTCAAGCTCTCCTCAACCCTCCCCCAAGTTAGTTGTTAAATTGTCTCGTAGACTATAACTGAAGACAGTAAAAGATTGTACACTACCTGGAATGTGTGGTGCTTGTGTGAACTTAACACAGCCAGCCTGGGACCCGCAGCAGAGACGTCAGTTTTGACATCAGAGGAAACGGGCTCCTTCCTTGACTTTGAAACAGGTGGTTACCCATGTGTAAAAGGAAGAAGTCGAAGTATTAAGTTCTAATGTATTACATATTTAAAAAAGTGTGGATTTTCTTTAAAGTTGTAGAACAGAGAAACTCTTTTCACATAAAACAAGATGCAGGAGCCATTAAGGAGATAAAACATTTTACCCATTTAGCGGGGTGGAGAGGCGGCTCAGTTAAGAGCACTTGCCGCTCTTGCAGAGGACCTGGGCTTGGTTTCCAGAATCCACATGGCAGTGCTGAGCCTTCTGTAACTCTAGGCACAAGGGATTCTATTCCCCCTTCTTGCCTCCTCAGGCACCAGGTACATATGTGATGCTGGCCAACACTCACACATATTAAATAAAAAAATTGGCTATTCAAAAATACCAAATCCCTTTGTGATGGAGGAAGGTCATTGGTTAATTATAATAAACCAACTGCTTGGCCTCATAGCTTAGAACATAGGGGGGAGGAGAAAACAGAATAGGATGCTGGGCGGAAGAGGAAGTGAGGTTATACTCTGCTCTGCTCCCGAACAGACCCGACAGCTCTGCTGGAGCAGAGACGCCATGCTCAGCTCCCCCAGGCAACTCTAACCCATGATGGACTTAGGCTAGAATCTTCCCGGTAAGCGCACCTTGGGGTGCTTACACACATCATTAGAAATGGGCTAGTCCAGGTG